GATAACCTTGTTCTTGTCATGGTTCCAGCAGGACATTCCATCATCCACTCCCGCCCCCCACACTAATCCCATCTGCCTTTTTTCACTACCTGATGAGGATTTTGCAGTGGATACATTTCCCCTCCATTTTCCAAGCTTGGAAAGTGTCTCCTAAGGAGTCATTACTGGCAGTCAAGAAACAAGCTCCCCTTCCCCTTCATTCTGGGCCCACAGGAGTGGGCTTCCCATGGAATTCTCCAAAGTAAATTCAGCCTTCAGGGAGAAGACCCAGACTGTGATGGTGAAAGTCCTGGAAAGAGCCGGTTCAGTCATCCTGCAGTGCCCAAATGCCGGTGCTGAGATTTCCTTTTACACTGGTCAGAAAACAGCAAATGCTCTTCTTCTTGATAGAAGAAATCTCTTATTCTGCAAGACTGATTTTCCATCATGAATAACGTAGCCAAGGAAGTAAAAGGGGGGAAAGTGATGGCATTTTCTGCTACAGACACATATTAGCATGCATTGTAAACCCTCAGAGAGAGATTGCCACTTTTATTTTGCTCACGCTTAACCTCTTGTGCTTTCTACAGCAGTTGAATGGACCAAAAAAGAGAGTCGGGGGGAACTTTTGCTAGCACTTACATCTGTGCCAGGGAAAATCTTGCCCGGCTAAAACGTCCACGCTGGACTGCAGTTAAAGGCTCAGGATGGGCAAGACGCAAACCGACCCAGAAGACCCTGCTTCCTATGGTTACCCAATAACCTCGTTTCTTCTTTCTTGGACTGAGTTCTGTGCCTTTGACCTCTTGCAAGCAAGCCTTCTGCACAGCGGTACCTCCACGCCAGCTTTTTGCGGAAGGGCTGTGTGTGTGCAGGTACAGCCAAGCAAAGCCCCAGCCCCGTCTTCATGCTGGCTGGCTCGGACTGCGATTCCTGGGCCAGTGGTCCACAAAACACGAGGAGACCTTCCTCCGCTGGCTGTTGGGACAGATTGCAGGGGAGGAAAACGATCCTCCAAAAGGGCGCAGACGGCTCCCTGCTGCCCCCTTGTGCCCCAGCGGCGACTGACAGTCTGCCGGCTTCATGGAAGAGGCTTGCATGAACCAAGAGGGCAGGAAAGTCCAAACGTTGCGTAATACAGGGACCATTGCGTGTGTAGCAACTTGTAGAAAGCATAGCCCTTTAAAAAGACAGCTGCAAATTAATGCAAATTATTGAATGTCTGCATAAATATTTATAGCACCTTGGCCCAACTGTCAGTGAGTGCTGTGTTCCAAATTAAGATTTTTTTTTAAATACCCCATAGTTCAAATTAAGACAAACAAGAGGGTGCTAGATCAGATTGAGTCAGAGCTTGCCCTGGAAACAAAACTGAGGAAAGACAGGATTCCCCAGAGAAAATAACCATGCTAGGAAAAGTTGAAGAAGATGGGGAAGATCAGTTAGGGAATGGAAGGATCCCATCACGGCAACCGCAGCCTTGAGTTAGTGGGAGTCAAGCGGGGCTATCTTGGACAAGGCATTTTGGAGGACTTTCATGGATAGGGTCACCCCAAGTCAGAGATGCCTTGATGACGCATAACGAGAACACGCGTTCAAATTAATCTCAGAGGCAATTTGCAGACTACAAGGCCTTGTAACACACGTGTGTCTGCACCCACGGGTCTGGTTGGCGCTCCTGGTGCTCTGAGGTCCTTGCTGAGATGCAGTGGTCCTTTTCAGGGGATCCTCGTAATGGTGGTTTCTTTATGGGAAATGCTTTTGTTTCAGTCAACACAGGTCTGTTCTGGGTGAGGAAGGGGCCTGGGTCAATTGCTGCTACCTCCATACAGCATGAGGAAGGGCCGCCATCTAAAACTCCGGGGCAGCCTCTCTGGCCCTCTAGATGTCTTGAACTGGCCCTATGGGCTGAGATTCAGCCACCTGGCATTGGCCTCTTCTGGGGCGTGTGGCTAAACTGGGAGCTTCAAGCTTGATTGAGTTTGAGTGTGCATGAGTGTTCTGCAAACGAACGAACAAAACCCCCCAAAACATTGAATTACATTTGTTTTCCGGACAGAACTGGATTGATGGCTTGGTTGAGTTCCCAGTCCTTGTATTGGGCTTAACCCTAACCCCCACCCACCTGGAGCTCTCAGCATTTCAGATGACAAGTCCCTGCTGTCCAGGATATTGGCCATGCTGACTGGGACTGATGGACGTCCAGGGCATGCAAGGGACACCAGGCTGGGGACGGCTGGCTTACTGGATCTGCAGCTTCCTTGTTCCCATCTGTTTCTTTCTTCCTTCTTTACATTTTAACAAGCGGCTTTCGGGCCCTAAGACAGGTCTTGCCAAAGCATTTTTCCCAGTTCACATGCCGCCGAAATGGAGAAGAGTGGCCCAGGACATTGCAAGAACATAAAGCAACCACACTGGATCGGGCCAGGGGCACCTCCCGTCCAGCATTCTGGTCACACAACAGCCACACTGCCTAAAGAAAATGTACAAGCAGGATAGGAGTGCAATGGCACCCTCCTGCCCATGCTCCCCAGCAACTGGGGAACATTGTCATATGGGCCAATTGTGGAGGTAGCACAGAGCCATCAGGACTTATAGCCGTTCGTGGCCCCTTCTTCCATGCGTTTGTCCAAGCCCCCTTTAAACTTGCCCAGATTGGTGGCCATCACGAAGTCTTGCAGAAATGTGCTCCATAAGCACATTTAGCTGAGCGCCGTGTGCAGAAGTCCGTCCATTGCTCTTGTCCGATTCTCCACCCATCAGCTCCATGGGAAGACACTGCTGGGTTCTAATATTATGGGAGAGGGAGAAAAATGTCCCCCCCCCCCTCCACTTTGGCCGCACCAGGCCGTGTCGCCGTCTTTCCAAGCCGAACAAGCCCAGTTGCTGCAACCGTTCCTCAGGGAGCTGCTCCAGGCCTGCCATCTTTTTTCAATGAGCTCTTCATCACCGTCTCGGAATCCCTTTCTTGATCAGGTGGCTCACCCGGTTCAGACGCCAGCAGCCCATACCCGAAGCTGGGATTTTTGGCCCCAACATGCATCACTTCACGCTCGCTTATATTGCAGTGCAATTGCCTGGTGGGAGCCCAATCTTCCCCTGGGAGCTCCTCACAACCCCTTTTGGTGTTAACCACCCTCAATACTTCGGTGTCATCAGCCAACCTGGATCCTGCACAACTTGCTCCTCATTCCAGATCATTTATGAATAGGTTGAGAAACATTCTCCTTTGGGAGCAATTGCCACTTATTCCCACTGTCTTCTGTTCTTTATTTAACCAGACAGAGATCTGCAAGAGGACCCTGCCCCTTTATTCCCTAACTGCGGTTAGCACTGGAGTCTTTGGTGAGAGAACTTGCCAAAAGCTGATTGAGGCCCAGGCACTGGACGCCTCTCCTGCATCCCCCTTGTCCAGATGTGGACAGGACTTTGCTCCGGCCATGGACTTTTTCCAGAGGGCTTTTCCTTCTATAGGGTTACTTCCGTCTTTAATCATGTTTTCAACCAATTTACCTGGAATAAACGTTAAGTTAACTGGCTTGTAACTTTCCAGATCTTCCTGGAACCTTTTCACATATTAATGTCAAATTATAGCAAAAGACTGGAGAAGGGCCAGCTTTGCCTTTTGGTGCGGAAACTGGACCGAGCTACTTCTGTATGTTTGGCCTTCAACCCATGGAATTTTGAACTCAAAAAGAATGCTAAAAACTGTGCCAACCAGCTTAATGCAAGCTTCCAGTCCTTCATCAGAAAACCACAACACAGGCAGCAACTGAGATTACAGATCGAGAAGGTGGCACCTCTTCCTTTGAACCAGCAGAGGAGGCTGGAGCTAAATAAAACTCTCCTTCCAGAAGAGTGAGAGGAAGAGGTTGCGGATTCAAAGTGAAGCACCATCAGAAAATGGGCTTGCGGTTCGACACTCTTGTGCTGTGCTGTTGTCCCCGACTTATGGCGACTCCATGATCACAAACCGTCCAGCATGTCCTGCCCGCAGCAGCCCTGCTCAGCTCCTCTAAATTCAAGGCTGCGGCTTCCTTGATGGAGTCCACCCTTCTCCTATTTGGTTTCCTTTCCTTCCTCTGCCTTTCCTTAGCCTGACTTTCCTCAGGTTTGACATGACAATATTTTAATTCTGACACACAAGGAGAACTCAAGAGCTGCCCAGCAGGAAAGCACAAGAACCATGCAAGAGATCCAAGCCCCATTTGCTTGACTCCTTTGAAGTTGTCAGTCTGCTCTGATCTGGCTCCACCAAATGCTGATCTGGGCCACAATTCGCATCACACCTAATCACTGGCCGGGCCGGCTGAGGCTGCTGGGAGCTGCACTGCAGAGCATCCACAGCCTGGCAGCTTGAGGAGGGCAGGACGACACACTGACCAGCTTAACCTGCAGGGGCAGGAAGCATTCGCGCCCTTATTCTGCATACACAGCTGCACAGTGTATTCCGGGAGCCACGTTTTCAAGATGCTTCCTATTTCCCCCAAAGTGGTAATCCTCAAATTTGGGACAAGGCTGCAGCAAGTGGAGCACATTTGGCAATACCCAAAGTATGGGGGGCTCCTGACACTGCACACGTTTTGCTAACAAGCCCCGTGGCCCCTGCTCAAAAAAGGTGAGGGAAGAGCCGCTCTTGTCCAGAGCGAGGGCTTCAGCTGACTGAGCTGTTCAGCTCTGGCTTGCTGGAAACATGGTACATCCCTTGGGATGCTGACGCTATCCTGGACATGTTCAGACAGAAGACCGTCTGACTGAGGACTGCGGCATGCTGGGAACTATCAGACTTTCTCTAAATATGCACAGGAGTGCGCCCAAAGAGAAGGAAGAGAAGAAACAAAGAGGATGCTGGCACACCACAATGTGAGCCTGCAGCATGGCGGACAAAGCAGGCCTCCGCTTCCCGCTTCATGTTTCCCATGGCTCCCGCTTCCCACCCAGTCTGGTCAAATCCAAGCCAGTGTATTACTCCTTCAAGCAAGAGTCAGCACATGGAGAAGAGAGCAGCACCAAAGAAGGCATCACAAAAAACAAAACAGGATTGTATTTTACAGTCCGTACTATGTACAACCACTGCTTGAGAGAGGGCTGCTTCTTATCACAAGGCCATGCATAAACAAGCGGATACACAGCACAGACACTCTGCCTTAACTGGTGTGGGGATTTAGTGCGCCGAGGTGTGGGGACTTTAGTAAAGGTCATGCCGGGAATTAATTTTTAAATAAATCCATCTACACTGAGAAAAAGGGTCTCCCCAGAAGACTGCCGTCACAGACTTCTAGGGCTAAACACACTCTCACAAAAGTCTATTTGATTCCTTATCTTGCCAGCGTCCTGTAACGTCTCTCTCCTAGTACTCTTTTTTAAAATTGTGGAGACAGGAGAAATTAACTGATAAGAAATGCATCTTTTAAGCTTATCAAAGGCCAAGGAAAATATGCCTGACGAAGACATTTTGGAAAGGTTCTGTCCTAGCTGGGTAAAGCAGGGAGCTCCTAATTGAGCTCATCCTAAATGCTGGTTTTTCAATTTCTGCCTTCCTCATCTTTGACGGGAATCTGAGCAATCATTGCCTCCCAAGTCCCTGCATGTTATGTCTGCACTGCAAACCAAAAGCAATTTCAGTGCCATTGTTTACCACAGGGAATTCTTGAAACGTGTAGCCTTGAGACAGGACTGAAGGTTCCCTTGGAGATCCCTGGCCTTCTCCTCACAAAAAGCTTTCTGAAACATTTGTAAAGTTATAAACTCCTGGGGATCCCGAGGCTCCCCCCTGACCAATGCATTTTAAGCCATTTTATATTTTGTAGTAGAAAAATAGACTGTGTGCTCTGATGCCTACTTCTAAATGGCCAGGATATGCTGTTGTTAAGAACGTAAAGTAGATAAATTGAATGGAAAGTGGAAAGACCCAGAAGGGTGGCCCAGCTACAGATGCTTTTTGGGAAATCTGGGTTAAGAGGCCTGCCAATCAACACTCCACAGTCCCTGTTCTAGAATATGCTGGTAGATAAAGTAACCTTCCATGCAGGTGTTAACGTGGCAGGTTGCTGTTACCATCACGGTACACAGAAGTGCCAGGAAACACTTGGTTTGCCCTCTAAATTGGACCAGGAAACCTGAGCCCGTTCAAACTCCTTCCGCTGGAGAAGGCCATGTTCGGTGTGTGTGTGTGTGCCAAGGGGAGGGATCGGGTCCCATCTCCCATGTCGGGCATGTGGCTAGATGCAGCCCACACGCTAGAAGGTGTTTTTTATCTTGGCTGCCACCAGGACCAGGACTTCGCTGATTTTGCTCTGCCAGTTGTTGATGTCCTTGGAGACCTCGCACCAGAGCTCTCCATGGCGTGGCTCTGCATTCTCGCAACGCTTCCGCACCTCTTCTTGCTGTTCCTACATGGCGAACAGAGAGAGAGTGACACCGGGGCTGGCTTAGTCCTCAGGTGCAGAGCCTTCCACAGGCGCAGAGCCTGTGTCCAGGCACACAACCCTGCAATCTTTACTCAGAAGTTAAGACCTGGTGTGCTCAGTGGGATTCAGATCGTAGCCGGAGGGAAACACAAACTCCTTCCCAGTCGTTCTGCATTCTCCCAGTCTGTGAGCTGGGCTGGGAGGCAACAGGCCAGCCCATGTCCTTCCCATTAATCCCACAATCCTTGGCCATGTCCATCCAGTTGTGGAATGGATTTACAAGGCAAATGGAGAACCTCATACTGCTCTTTGGCAAAATGCTTTGCAACAAAAAAGATTGAGGAAGGGGTACAAACTACAGGCCAAGTCCCTGGCACTTTTTCCCCTTAAGCTGTCATAAACACCTCCCAAAGATCAGGGAGAACTGCCGATAGACCACGTGGAGGGACATAGCAACAAGCTATAAGGAAGGGAAGGAAGCTTCACCCCTCAGAAAGGGCTCTCCAGGAACTAAGCAGGTGAGGACATTTTGGCAAAAAGGTTGCCCAGCCTCCCCGAAGCGCCTTTCCAAGATTCCAAGAAACGAGCAATGCAGCTCCACCCCAACCTCTGCGCATTTGGGATGCAAAGCAGCGGGCCCTGTTTCTGCACCATGGGAGGGTCCCACATCAGCAGAGCCTCCTCTGCAGGTCCCATTCAAGTCAGAAATCTCTCCCACCAAGTTACCTCTGTGCCGTGCTGAAGCTCGAATTTGTAGAAGAAAGCCCAGGCATCCCCCAGATCAGAGTCGATCTTCACGGTCCGATGGAACCACTCCCGAGCCTTGGTTATTTTGCGCTCACTCCAAAACAACCTGGGCAGAAGAGAGTTGGGAAAGAGATAATGAGGTAGGAAGACCAAAGGCCACTTTCTTATTACCACAATACTCATTACCACAAAACTCTTCCGGGGAAAGCTGTACCTGTGCAAGCCAAATCAAGCCTAGCCTAGCCAAGCCTAGCCCAGTCCAGTCCAGCCCCTCTTGATTTCTTTGCCTAGTGTCCATCCGCCCTGCGGCACCTACCTCAACACAAGCCCAGAAATCCCAGACTCAGGCTAAATACAAGCATGCACAACCCTGACTCAGCCTCTTCCCAACAGGCAAAATGAACCGGAAAGGGAAGGCTCGCTCTTCATTGGGACCAAGCCACGAGAACAGCTCTTCTACAAGCCCCATGGAAGCGAACGGAAGCCGCCTAAGAGACATGCGTGGTGGACAACGTGCGATGTCGAAGGGCACAACCGAATTAGATCCCACCCTCCAAAGCACAGCTGCCAAGCGGGGGGATCTACTGGGAAAGCAGCCTTGGACTGCAGAGGCCCTGAGAGCTGGGGCTGACCTCGCACGTTTCCCCTCCCAGTGCTCAGCTTGCACTGCTCTCCACAGATTCCAAAGCTTGTTTGTCTCGCAATGAACCAGCCTCACTGCTATTTTACAGAAGCCAGTTTCTGCTCATCAAAACACAATCAGGATGGGGCAATTTGGATCTGCTGTCATTTAATGCTGCTGGGCATGCCAAGCTGTTCCACTACATCGGCTTAAAAGTCTGGTAAACATTGGTATTTTAAAGCTTTAAGTTGTGACTCCTGAGAAAGGGAGGAAAAGCGCTATGTACCTCCTCTAAGATGTGCAGGCTACAGCTGAATGCTACTTAGAGCTTTGTCAGTGATCGGGACTGTACCATAAATGACGGCTGGACACTGAGGGACCATACCAGCCAAGACCATAATACTCTGCTTGGAGGACCAGTAGGGAAATGGAGGCGGTTCCCCTCAGGGGATTGTGGTGACCGTGGAGCGGAGCAATTTTGCCAGTGCTACTGAAGTTTCTGTCTTTCTTTGAAACCCTTGAATGCAAGGACCTATAAAGTCATCCTGAATGCTGCAATTCCAAAGTACGTATCCCAGCCTTGAATATTCCTACCCTGAAGAATCCAATTCCACATAAGCTGAGGAACTCCAGAGGTTTGGGGGAATGTTTTCGGGTGCACCACATGGAGCAGTGCTGGGCTTTGTCACGATGTGCAAATCAAGTGTCACAGAAGACACTCAGGGAAACTCCAGATCTCCAGAACATTGTTTCAAAATTGCTGAAATATTTACCAGTCCTTGCACATCATTTGACTGAATCTTCACCAATTGTATCCAAATTATTTCTACTAGCCAGCAGGTGTATGTAAAAGCACCTCGGAGGACCTACAGTGTGCCTCCTCTTTGGATCCAGCAAGTAGGAGCCTTCCCCATCCAAAGAATTAAGGAGCAGGACTCCAGGGATCAGTGGCATCACTCCCAATAAGCCTTACACTTGTCAGTCTTCTGGAAGCCCAAGGATAATTGGGCATCACCCTCTACATTCTCCCATCCAGTCAGTTAATCAATTTGCCAAACAAATGGCAAATTCAGTGCTTGCTCCCAGCTTGGTTAAAAAAAATCTACCTGTAGTTAGAAGGCAGTGGCACTGAGCTTGTTGACTGGAAGGGGTATTTCATCATGACAAGAGAGGGAGGCTGGCATGGGGTTAGCAGTAGCTGCTGCTGCTGCTGCTGCTTTCCAAGAGGAAAACAGCACTGTGGGAGGGAGAACGGAAGACGGTACCAGGGAAGCAGCTCTGGATATGAGGCACGGGGACATAAACTAGGTAGCACCAAAAAGAAACTGGAAATGGCTCTCCCTCAGCCTGCTGACCACATTTACTGCTCTGAAACAGGAACAGACCAAAGCCTTGCAAATACCTTGCAGAACCTGGAAATGCAGACTCCGCCCCCAAAAGGGACTGGAGTGTAGCCCGCTAGCAGCCTCTCCTCCCAAGCGCTCCTGCTTGCCACTGCTCTGCTGGCAAGTGGACCTATGGGAGGCTTAAGCTGACTGTGCGAGGCCCTCTGACCATACCACCCAACGCGGCGGGCCTCACATGAAAAGTAAATGCCCTTCTTTGTGGGCCTATCAGAGCAAGGTAAGCACCACTCTCCGGCAGATTCTGGGGCTGCACATGCACACAAGAATCTTGTGCAGTTTGCTCTGGTTCATGAAGAGCAACTTAGGGAGAAAAAAGATCCTGCATTAGCACTGCATTTACTGGAAAAATTTGATAATGTACATACTTTTCCTAAGCTGTCCCAAGCCTTAAGAAGAGAAGGCATTTTCTAGGGACTGAAATATGAATGTGAACTCTGACTGCTGTGACAAACGGGGGTGGAACCAAGAGCAGCACATGATACATTCCAACTGTTTGAACCTTCACATCTCGAAGTCTTTGGCAAAATGCACCCATAAGATTAGACACTTGATCTCTGGACAGCTCCAGATTCTGGATAACGTACCCAACTTTTGCTACCCACCCTGAAGGGTTTACAGACCTCCCTTGGATAACAAACAGGTACCATCACTCACTTGGCCACAGCCAGGAGAACATGTGGATCATGCTCACATTTCTTCAAAGCATCCACACTCTTGGTCTTCCTCTGGGGTCTGGCCTCTAGGAAGATCGCTTCTGACCACAGGATTCCTAAACCGCCAAGAAGAGATGGAATTAAGAACTGATCGAGGACTAATGTTAAGCTACTGTGGCTTAAAGGCAACACACATTGCAGCCTCCAGGCCAGTCCACCAGGTCCTCACAAGAAGAATCCTCCTCTTTAATTCCACCGACTTCTCAATGTGCTTGTTGCCAGAACAGCTTCAAGAGCAATGTTCTCTGTGAAGAGAACTTGTGCAAAAGAGCACCAGGCCACTTCTCTCTCCTGGATAATGGCAACATACTAAGTTGAGAGCTTAACCATACAGCAAAACTGAACTGAAGGAGGGCTGTCAAGCTCCATTTTAGTGCTCATTATTCCTGCATGTGCTGGCTAAACCGCTGATGATCGGCACTTCCACAACACAGTGTGCTCTCTGGCAACACAAACAGGGAAGTAATTCCTGGGATTCCCCCCAAAGAGCCACCTTCTTGCGTATGATCTTGCCCAGCCACTGCATACACAGGAGAAGCTCTTCCGCATGCTGCAGTGCAACCTGAACGGTGGGAAGGGGCCTGCCGTGCAACGCCACCAAGATGCAGACCTCCTGGCCGCAGGAGAGCCACCCAGCCCCCTCTTGACCGCTATTCTGTCACCGGTTGTTTCAACAAGCCTTTGGCCTGACCTCTGCCTGGCTCCTCTGTTTCCTCTATCCTACGGGCGTTGGATTTGCAGCTATTTTTCTCTTACTGTCGAATTTAAAGTGGTTTTTAAAATTATTGTTATGGACTGCTTTCAGGGGATGATGTTACTTGCCTCAAGTGCTTTGTGTTCAGAGAGGATAAAATCAGAAAATGAGCACAAGAAATGGAAGCCCAAATACCAGATAGCAAAATCCACTTGGGATTTCACCAATAGGAATGTGCAGAGGCCGTAAAACGAGCAATATCCCGTTTGCAGGCAGCCGGGAAAGCAGCACGGTGGGGCACGGCCTGGTGGCTGCACTTCACACTCCCAGGAAATGCCGAACGGGCGTATTTTGATGCAGTCGCTGAAGGGTCCCAGTTTGTGCTGCGACCAACAGCGCTTTCGAACTCCCAGGAGGGATCGGCCTGGATGCCATTCCACTGCAAGCTGCTGAGGTGTTTATTCTGCCCCTACCATCTCTGCCCGCAAACCAACCCCTGCCTTTATTTAAATTTTCAAGTGGCTGAGATCTGGAGCATTTGTTGATCACCAGCAAGAGGAGCATTTCTCAGTCACGCCATTCAGCATTCAAGGACAAACAAATACACCCCAGTGGGCCTGATGGACCTGAAAATTTGCAAGCCCTTTGCTCGCTTAATCATCTCTCCATAGGAGGCAACTTGGCAATTATGTCTGCTTCTAGTTCTTGGCTGCAAACAAGCCAGAAATCAATCAGGCCCACACAGACAGCTGAGAAGAAAGCCGTTAGGTGTGGAATTTTAATTGCAGCAGACAAACTCACACAGAGCATCTCTCAGACATCAGCACTCGTCTCTTTGGAGATAAGAAAACACGACCGAGGACAAGCCTCCAGAGAGAGATGCGTCAAGCAACTGAAACAGGCACCATCTGGAGGACATCTGATGGGTTTCAAAGCAGAAGCGTATCTCTGCTGAGGTCTGACGAAGACTGGAGCTCAGCAGAGACACGGGATGGTCTGCACAGGCCCAGGAATGCACAAAAGATTCCACTTACTCTCCAGAGACCTTTCCCCTTTCATAAATTAAAAGCAATCAATTAAAGAGAATGGCATATAACTTTGCTAAAGGAAAGCAAGAGTTTTAATGGGCTACTCTATTTATAGCACAGCTTTCCAAAGGGGAAGAAGACAAAGTGTTTTCTACATTTTTATATGTTGGCCTATTTGGATTTCACAGACAACCCCTCCTGCGAAACAAACAAACAAAGCCCATTAGTATGTCACCCACATTCTACATGTCTAAATATGTGCTGTACTTCTGCATAGTTCAAACCAGAAGTACCTTTCAACGAGTCTGAAATCTCCTCCTCTGCACCAAAGGCTCCATTCGCTTCTGATCTTAAGGACCAATGTACTGAGCGAGGCTTGAGAAGCTGCAAGCGCCAACCTTGTCAGATACATGAAGCGCTCGCCCAAATGGACAGGTGCCAATCCGCACCTACGTATCTCATGAGGGAACAGAGGAAGAAAACGTGGGTGTATCCAACCGAGTGAGGCCACAAATCAATGTCAGACAAAATGCCAGGAGGGTCTTGCACCGTATGCGCGATCCCTTCAGTGTGGCCCTGACCCACACCTGACCTGACGGGCAGCAGGTGGTACAACGGCATTTGCTTATGCTGTTGTGTTAGGTAACCGGGGCTCCTGCTGCACACTCCCGGAACACGTCACCTAGAGAAGCTTTCCCGTTCAGCCCTCCAGCCAGCTCGGAGAATGAACCTGGTAGCATTAGCCAGGCCCTACACAGGCAGGGGAGGGTTCAGGAAGAAACATCCTGTCCCTCTCTCTCTTTTGGAGACCCCACCGCTATGCTGACCAGGGCCCAGCTCTGAGGCTACTTGCAGGCCTGAATCCAAAAGCTATATTGCTGCAGGACCACAGAACTGGAAAGGATCCTGGAGAACTAGTCCATCCCCCTGTTGAACATGGAGGAGGGGAGAAGGGGTACAGAGGAGGAACAGGCTGAGCATATCGCATCAAGCTTAATCCCTTCACCAAGATCAACGAGCTACTTGGGGCAAACGCTGGCGGCCAACATCACTTTCCCACACACAGCTCAGGCTGTTCTCAATCTTCCACAGGCCTTGAAAGCCACTGAAGGGAAGTCCTTGCCAGACCATTTTGTTCAGACATTTAAGCATTTTCCCTCAATTTGCAAACAAAAGTCCCTCTATACATCTGGGAGGCCCTCAAGTATGCAGAATGTGCCACCTCGTTTTTGGGCCGCGCCAAATTTGCAAACTGATACAACCGCTCACGTCTGGTACTGGAGAGAACAAATCCTGCCAAATTCCACGTGTCCGATTCCAGCAGAAGGCACCAAAAAGGAAATTACAGATCACTGTTGCCAAGTGAAGGTCTTAAGTGTTTGGCCTTTGAACAAAACTGTGCTCTAATCAAGATGATTTTCATGTATATTCTCTAGCTACAGTTTAACACAACTTTAAAAAAAATCCTACTATTTCCATTGAGGCCTAGTGTTGAGTGCCATGTTTCCCCAGTCTTTTACCCTCTACCTCTCGTATCTTTTAACAAGCTAACACAGTTCCTCCTGAATTGGTTATTTATACATTCATTCATTTAATTTCTATACTCAGTCAACAGCCAAAGCTTTCTGGGTGGTTCACAACAACATTCCCCCATTTACCTCTTTGTGTTAACAAAGATGGCAATGCACAGCCTATGGCTCACCACACCATGGAAAGAAAATAGAACGAAAGAAAATGGTGCTTCTGCCTGCATGCGTGTGCACAAACCCACCCTCTTGCACTGTTGCCAAATGTCAGAAGCAAGTTATTTATCTATTAATTCTTTCTAAAGTTTTTGTTGGGTCCCACAGGCTGCCCAGTACCCTGCAGCCCACGGAGTCTGGTGGGGAGGGGTGAAAATGGCCGCAGGTCTTCCACAGATGCTCGCTGGGTGTAGCGATATCACAAGCCTGCTTCCAGCCTGGTTGGCGCAAAGTTCAGTGCACAGAACCACAACGCGGTTCATTATGAAGAGGGAAAGGAGCAGGGCACCGTCCAGAAGAGAAAAGTGAGCACGCAGGCCCACTGGAGCCAGGGCAGCAGGAAACACAATGGGGCTTACAGAGGTGTCCCTGCACCCCACAAAAGACCTTCCCAAGGAATCCACTTTGCTCTGCTCTGCTCTCTAGTTCTTGGAGCTGTTGGGCTGACTGCCCACAGCCGCTGGTCCAGGAAAGGCAGTGGGCTTTGACCACAATAATCCCTACAAGTCCAGCTTCCCATCCCCCAAAGCATCACCTGCAGGGTCTGGGAGCAGCAGTCGGCCAACCTAGCAAACCGCCTAACAGGGCTCTTTCTCCATGTTTCTCGTGCACCCCCCCAATGTTCCTCCGGCGCCAGAGCTCCATGTGCCAGGGCTGCTCGAGAGCTATTTAAATTGAGGGAACAACCAAGGATACCGTTTGCATGATATTCTGTTCTGTTATTCACAGTAAAAGGCAGGCTCTGAATGGACAAGTTGCAGGGAAGTCTCATGTGGGAGGAAGGGGCTTGTGCAGTACGAGCAAGAGTAGACGGCCAGCTGGCCACAATGTCCAATGCCAAATTGGGGCGGGGGGGGGGAGAGGATGTTAAAGAAATTCAATCGCATCCTTAGCAAAGGTCAGCAGAAAATCGTGTGTGAAAGAAAAAGGATTCCTTTGTTACCAGAATTGGGGCACTCTTGCAGCGCCTTGGCCATCAGGGTATTGGCGATGTTTTTCAGTCCAGCTCTGTATTCTAATCGCACTGATTCCAACCTGCAAGAAGGAAAAGTGCCACATTACGAAAGCTCCCAGAGCGACCGAAGAGATCCCAAAGCAGACCATGAGAGGTCTCACTCACCACAGGTCTTGGTTCTTTGGGTTCTTTAAACGCGATTTCTCCAAGATGGCTCTTGCTCGAGTGAGCTGGCCGACCTTCTCTTCCAGCCGGGACAACAGCAGCCAAAGAGGAATGGAGGTGGGGCATTTCTTTAGCTGTTGGGAGAGGAAAGAAATCCTTACTCAAGAGTGCACCACTGCAGGCAGCCTTTTCTTCGGCAAGGTTGACCCTAATCTCACCGCCACCATGAAAGAAGAGAGCAAAGATGAATGCACCTCTCCTTTTTATAAGTTCTCCCCATTAGTTTCCAGGCTGGGCAAATCCCCAGAGATTCTGATTTAAAGGAAGCTTGCAAGTCACGTTAGGTTTTCAGAACAAGTCGTTAATCCTCCTAGGCAAGAGCAGCTCAGGCTGGACAGTGACACAGCATGGGAAAAGCCACAGACACATCTGGACAATTGCTGGTGCCGGTCTGTGAGGCTGAGGCAACAGCTGGACAGGTCTGTGCCGCTCTCCTGGGACTTTCCACAGGGATGCTGCACTGCAGTTATTTTCCCGCTACTACGGGAGTTTAGAGAGAAGCCCATCTTCTCCTCAGGGAATAAAAAGGGGCTGGGAAGGAGGGATGGGAAACGGCCCAGTCCTTACCCCTTGGTTATAGGCCTCTCGGGCTTTCTCGATCAGCTCTTCCTGCTCCTCAATCTGCCCTTTCATCATCCACAGCTTGGGAAAGTCTTCGTAGTGCTTCAGCGCTTCTTCACAAAGCTCCTGAGCTGCAGCAATGTTCCCAAGCACCCACTCGAGCTTGACTGATTTCATGAAGACCTGAGAAGTCGCAGAGGGAGAGCATTCAGTGGACATTCCAAGCCCAACAAATCTACAGGTTGCCCAAGCTGTGCTTTCCCGTTGTTCACTGCAATGGGGCTGCAGCAGCAGTGGCCTCACCTGCCCCCCACCCTCTCCCCACTGGGAGAAAGCCCGGGGAAGGCAAAGAAGGCTCTTGAGGGCCACAGCGGATGAGCCTGCCAACACGGTCCCCGAGAACCAGGTGACACCGGGTGGCACAGCCCTGCCAGCAGACCCTGCAGAGCTGGCGGGAGGCTGGGCGAGTGCCACCTGGCTCGATGCCACGGTGCGGCCACCTGCCCGGGGCCAGAGTCACTTATTCCCTTGAATCCGGGCGGCAGAGGTGTCAGTGCAAAAGCATCCCAGAGTTTCCGGAGGCTTACCCTGGCCGTCGGGGCGCTGCTGCGAGCCTTTGCCAACAGCCTCCTCGCTCTTTCATACTCGTTGTTTTCAGATTCCAGCTTCACCGCAGCCAGCCAGATCTCTTCACTGTTGGGGTTAGCCTAAAGAACAGACAAGCACATGAACAGGGGCGTCGAGTCACAGGAGCCACAGCCACTTTTAACTGCTCCGCTGATCCGTCCCCACTGCAGGACAGGCCCTTCCTTTAACAGTTGAGGAATGCAGCGCCTCATTTCCTCAGTGGAGGCTGGCCACGCATTCCTGAGAAGGGATCAGCAGCAGTGCGGGAAAGACGATTCATGGCACGCACCAACTACGCAAGTGAGTGGGGGTGAGGTGGAGAGCAGAGCACAAGATGTTCTACCCAAATCAGAGGACAGTCAGTCTCCCAAGAGATGCCAGAGGAGGAGCAGAACATTGTGGGGAGAAGCGACTCCCGTCTGGGGTCGCTCCTGCCATAGCAATGTCAGTCCCCTGGCTCCAGGAGGGCAATGCCAACGTGCTGTGCCCAAGAGGAGCACCGGAGCCACCTGCTGGTAGACTACCCACGGCTCCCTCCTGCCTTCACCCACACGGTGAGCAGCGAGACAAGCCCTCCAGCTTTTCATCGGCTCACACTTCCCTTCACAAGAGCCTGGACACAAGCTGCTGTCCCCAGCTCAGGCACTCTCGCACCAGGTGGGCACGTCCTCAAACAGCTGGACCATTTTAAAAACGAACAACAGGCTAGAAATAGTCGTTCGCCAGTCTTGACCTTTCAAGAGTGACAATTTACCTCCCCATTATTAAAAAAAATATATTTCTCAACCAGCTATCCTCCACCCATTGTGCCCCAGGGCAGGCGCCCCATGACATAAAATCATTTTAGCAAAATACAAACACAGAACTTTTTGTCAACAGTTTGGTCCAAGAATAGTGACAGAGAAATAGAATCGATTAAGATAATGCAAAAAAAAAATGCTGAAAAAGAATTACAGACCAGAAAGGCTGCAAAGGACTATAAAAGCTGTACAAGGGTTGAAACAGGACTCTTTAAAATGCTGCGACTGATGGTCTTAATCTAGCTACAAGAAGGACTGCAAAGTTGCTACCAGCTCCAGTTCTGATTATAAGCCCCTCAGAGAGGGCAGGGAAACGCACCCTGGCTCCATCCTGAAGCCAACAGGACAGATGCCGTTTTCTCCCTAATGCTTAAAAGGTGGCTTGTAGTATGCAATCTGGGGAATATAACTCAACCTAGACTCCTTCAGAACAGGGTTATTTAAAATCTTGAAAATCTGTTCGTTGCCATTTTCCTGTACTTGTGCATGACAAGAGTCGAAAAGTATTGATTTGCAGCAGCTAATCAGCATGTTCTGGCATTGAGAAACCCCACAGCACCATTTCTTAGAATGCAAGAAAGGTTATCCAAGCGTGCAGAATAACATGAGGGCTCAGCACGTCAACAGCCACTTGCACGGATTGAGCAAGAACTGCCTCAAAGTGATCAAGTGATCCTGCTTCTGGAAACTGGGCACAAGCTGGAGGTTCACCCTCTCTCCCCTGTGCTGTGTGGCCTAAATGACTACAGTGGGCATTTACGGATGGGCAGCAAGCAGAAGACACTTCTCTGCATCGATCCCCATCCCAGGAGATCCCCTAGGGCCTTCCCTGCATAGTTAGATGCAAGGTCAAGGCCACCTTTCAGCAGGCACTTAAGCTTTAAACTATGGCCTGATAAGTTCTGTTTTTCCTGTTTTTTGGTTATTGGACTGTAAACTGCCCCCAGGTCATTGATCAGTGGGCGAGTCTGTGGACTCTTCCACAAGATGACTAAGTTGCAGAAAGCACCAACAGTGCCCTGTTTGTGGAAGACTGGTATCCTTTCAACACAGACGTTCTCCCCGTGTTTGTAATGTATTTTTCTTCTCTTTACAAGTTTAGTGTACCGTTGTGTATGATGTCCAGCTTTTGTAAAGCACCATCAAAGCTTGACTGGAACTCTATACCACTAGAACTCTTGACACAATTTATGGGCTGTTTGCAAAAACATTTCTGGAAGCAATGCTTGCATCTGTTCATATAGATAACATGCTTAATTTCTTAGGAATTTCCAGAAGGCTTGGTGAAAAGAGGAAGCATCAGGTAGAAGAAAGGGCAAGAGCAATAGACTGATGAAGGGCACCTAGGAAGGTTCAGTGACAGTATCCCACTGCATCTTCTTGCCGTGATGCAGGAGAGCTTCCCCCATGTGGTGCCTCGTCTCGTCTGAATGACAGTAAAAGCTGGGCGAGGACACACACTCACCTGGAAAGCCAAAGCCAGAATGCTCCTGGCAGCAGGCACGTCTCCAGCAAGCCACTTCGACTTGGCTCCCATGAGCCAGAGGACTTCAGCCTTGGGGCAGTGAGCCACAGCCCTCTGCAGGAGAGCCTCCAGGGATTCCCTGCGAAGAACAGAGCGTCAGCAGCAGCAGCCTGAAACCCTGAGCACCTAGACACCCAGGTGCCATCTGCCAGTACCACTGATGGTGACCATCCCAGAGAGATCAATTCTTTCATCAAGGAGACGGAGGAAGTTCTGAAACATGCGCACTTCTCAAGCTCAGAAATCAACTGCTGGGAAGCACCCTCCAAATATGGTTCAATGGGTAAATGGAGAGGCAAAAGGTAAGAACAGACCTCTTCTTATCCTGGAAGACACTAAACTATTCACTCAAGTGACCGGGGAGCCACAAAGCATTGGTCAGTCCCCTACTCTACTACAGGCAGCATGCAACTTCACCGGTCTGCTTACGGTACTCGTGCTTCGCCAGAGTAAGCAACTTTGGGAAGCATGCTAGCTTAAGCTCCTGGTATCCTACTGCAGGCCGTAGATGCTAGGGCTCAGTAGCGTAAGTGGACTGGCAGCACAGGATTCTACCCTATGAACTGCAGTGAGCTGCTTAAACAGATCCCAAATCCCACAACTCTTATTGATGACTATCATTCTTATTTTCATAAAAACAGGATAAGTGCACACTGTTTAAAATGGTGCGACAAGGCATCCCTCAATCCTACAGAAAAGTGATTTTATGTACAGGTAGCCCCGCTCCACCAATCTGACTACTGCTACCAGTCATGGTGGACTTCTCTGGGCTAGGTGAGCCAAGAGGCAGATTCAGCTGACAACAGCACCTGTTGCAGGTGGGGCAATACAAACAACTCAGAGCCAGGCCATTGCGCAAAATGCACTAGATACACCTCCCACACAAGCTTTGGGTTATGACAAAACACAACCAATCTGGTACACTCCAGGGAATCACTGACTGTGGTGGCTGGAGATTGAGGAGCTGCAAACCAACACACCTGGAACGTACTAGAGGCTGAAGAAGGTGGACTGGAAGATGCCCCCCTCAAGCTGCACAGAGGAAACTAACCCCCCCTCCCCAGTTATGTTAGGAAACACCACAAGCTGATGCAAGCAGAATTTTTGGCAACACCACACAAGCCGTTGTACCTGGTTCCATGATTCTTTTCAAAATAGGCTGCCCGCAACCAGACACTTTTCTTGCTGGGGAAAACTTGCAAGGCATAAGCATAGATGGCCCGGGCACACTCCAGAGCATTGTGTGCAACACACTGTGGGAAACAATACACAATATTGTTGCAGTTATGTGCTGTCTAGTCATCTCCAACTTATGCTGATCTTATGAATGAGCGCCTTCCAACCTGTCCGGCTCAGCCCTTGCAAGTGCAAGGCTGCAGCTCTTTCCTTTCCAGAGTCATTCCATCTCCCCTTTTTCTTGTGCCTTCAAGTTTCCCTAGCATGAATGCCTTATTTGTGTGACGAAGAGCTAAAAAGGCAACACTGGTGCATCAACCCTGTCAAAACTTGGTGTGCATTCTCAAGAGCAGCTTCTGCATGTGGCTGTTTTGCCTTAATTGAAGCACACAACTGGGATGATTCCGGAGAAGTAAAAGGCTCAGAACACAGACATGTTGAGCCACAGTTCTAATTCAGATCAATAATTCAGAGTGTGGAACCAGGGCTGATCATGATTACTATCCAGCCTAGAATGTTAAGCAGTATTTTCCCTAAAATTGGGTGCGAAGGCCACAGAAGGCTGCAAAGGTGAGAAGGGCAAATGCAGGAAAGCCAGTCTCTGGCAGTTCTGTGGGGCATCTTGTAAACACGTAAGTTATTCTGGCATTTCAAAATTGGCTTGGGATGAGACACACACAGGTAGCACCAAGACCTTAATGTCAGCTCAGACTGGCAAGGCGGAGGAACTCAAAAACAGCAGACCCTGATCCCATGCAGAGAACGCCACCACCTCGGCCTTAGCCACACTGACCCACCAGCCCCCAACATTATATACACTAATTCCATGCTTAGCAGCCTTTCCACTCTGGATCTGCTTACACTATCAGCATCTTCCATCCAAGTGTGCTTCCGGTCCTCCTCCTCGATCCCAATCCCGATCACGGCTCTCATGATAGCCTGGCATGTGGCCACGCTCCCAGCTTTGTCACACTCCTCTGCATCCTAGAAAAAAACGATTGTAACAATCCATGTTGGGAATGGGAATAATTCAGGACCAGGGAAGCTGCTGCTACACTCATCTGCACACGTGCCGCACCATCTGGAATCATGTATTTCATCACGACGAGGGTGAGGGTCTTTACTACTATGTGGAAGAGCAGCTAAGAAGCCTGTGCACACACCACAACAGGGCTGCCACGCTGCACCCAGGGCCACTTCTGCACAGTGCCTGCAGGCTTGTTGCTTCGTGCAAACGCTTAAATACCCCAGCATTTCTGGCATCTCCCCTGTCCTTTCCTACCCTCTCCATCTCTGGACAATTCCAGAAATAATTGTTCTAGTCTGTGGTCACTTAAAGGCCAACACGTTAGTTGTATCATGAACTTTCTTGGGCAGAGCATGAAATGCCCAGGGACCCATACGAGGTCATCAGCATCTGTGCAAACTGTAGCATCAACCTTGGGCACCAATAAGGTCAAGACCAAAGTCCTTCTTAGGCAAAGTTTGCAAGCAGAAAATCTGAGCAAGCACCTGGATCCATTGCTCCCGGTTTATTTCCACACCATTTGCCCGTAATGAGGTGATGGCGCGGTCAATGATCTTCTCCACCATCTGAGTGTTCCCATTGGCCTCTTCAAGCTTGGCAGCTGTGATCCAGATGTGCCTGTCCGTTGGAATGTTCTCGCGGGCCTTGTTTAAGACTTTACGGGCATTCTCATAGGTTTCCAGCCTTGCCAGGGCAAGCCACAGCTGCAATGGAAGAGCAGAGAAAGAGTCAACAGTAAAGCAGGACAGCATGAATGTACCCATGCTTTCAAACAAAAGAGAAAGATAGTAATTCAACCCCTTTCTCTACCTCCAGAAAAGTCTTACACCACAAAACTGCCCTGAGGCTGTCTCTCTCTCTCACTCGCTCAAGGACAGATAGGGAGAAAAGAATCTGTCAAGCACTCAACTATCCAACATCTCCAGGTCCCGCTTCAAACCATGAACAGAGTTAATTATGTATAACATTGGTGCTGAAGTCTGCAGGGCCAAGAGCACCAGAAGTTTGCATGAAAAAAGGAAAGCACTGGGGGCAAGGAGTATTAAGGCTGTTCTAGCCCAAGGACTGTTTACAATTCAACTCTTTTTTAAGTTCAGATATATGTAAGCGGTGAATCTGTTTGCAAATGGACAGCATGGTTGGAACACATTCTGAAAACAAACTCTCTTGCTTCCCCGTGACTCAAATTCACTGCCAATTGCCTTTAACATCTCAAAACAAGACCCAAGTAAGCAGTGTATAACTCATCCAGGAACATTTTGCTCAGGCCTTAGCCTTCTTACAGGGACCCCACAGGCAGGCTGCAACAATCTGAGTGGAAGAGATTTGCCCACTCACCTCCACACTGGTGGGGCAGCATTCCACCGCTCGGCTGAGCATTATCCTGGCATCCTCAGGCTCCTCCAACTCCACAGCTGCCTTCCACAAGCGGACAGAGTTTGGAACATGCTCCAGAGCTAGGGACAAAAAGGAAAACAGGGGGGATGGCACGTTAGAAGGGGGACTTACCAAGGACGGAGAAAGGCCCTAGATATGGTCACTAAAGCAAGCTGTAAACCCACTGCAGGATAAAAAAGGAAGGATGTAGGTGAGCTCATGGTAACTAAAAGCAAATTTGTTAGTGGCTCACTAGATTCTAGACGTTGGGGTGTTGGGGGTGCAGTTAAAAAGATGCCAGCCTTGTACAATCCAAAGAAATGGGCTTGGTCCCAGAGGGAAGAATAGCCAGCCCTGAGTGTCAGGCAATATGACCTGCAATTGGGCCTCCATGGATTCTGTAGCTTGTCATTTCTAAAACTCTTCTCCCGCAGTCTTACTATAAGAACTCAGCCTTACAAGAGTGCCAACTGGTGCAAGAGGAAGCTTGAACGGCAGCCGAGTTTCGTCTTTTTGGAAGGGGACTCAACTGCCCAACTATGCCTGTGTGTAATCTGAGGTTTTGTGCAGAAGGCTCAACCTAATCAAATTAGCCTGCAGAGGATTCCTCCATACCATCTGAAGATTTGGACTGCAGGCTGATAATATCTTCCTCTCCAATTTAAAAACATTCTGCTTCACTTTAACATCCTGCCTGAGGAAGAGTTCTGTGGAATTCAAAAAAGCTCAAAAAGCATTTTGAATCTTGGCTGGTTTTAATAAAGGTATTATTTCTCTCTTCCTGTTAGAACATTTCTCTAATGGACCAACACAACTAACTGTTTTGCTTGAAAATTCTTGTGGGCAGTTTAAAGGACACTTTTCCAAAAAGCAATCAATCTAGTGCTCCCAAAAACAGATTGTCTTGGGAAAGATTTCTTAAAAAGTTAGAGCTTAATGAAGTGAAAGCTGCTGAGACCAAGCATTTCCTTCTTTGGTAACCCAATGCAGCTTTTCCATTTAATAAAGGAGATTCTGAGTGCCACTTTGTCCAGACACAGAAACCACATTCTCAAAAAGACCTGCAGAACTGCCTGTCCAAAAAGCTAACGGAACAACATGAAGCCCCCCTCCCCCACTTTATTGTGCCTGGGCAGCCTTAAGAACCTTGGGCACTGTTTTATGGACCAGAAGAATATCTGACCAAACAAAGGCCTACCACTACCTTTTCAGAGACCATGGGAAATGACCAGGAATGGAATATAAAACAGAACTGCCAAAACGTTGCTTCCATTACGCAAATCTTTGGTACGCTCACACTTGGAATATTGGAACTGTGGAATGCACTGCCATGGGAAGTGGTGATGGTCACCAATCCAGATGGGTTTAAAAAGAGACTGAACAGACCCATGAAGGAGAGGTTATCCGTGACCACTAGCCTGCCTGGCCATGTGCTACCTCCTTTGCTGGAGTTGGCACACCTGCATAGACCAGCTGGTGAGGAGCTTGGGCAGGAAGAGGTCTTGTCCCCATACTGCTGGGGGATGCAGGTTTGCCACCATGTATACGGCGTGCTGGTCTGATTCTACACGGCTTTTCTTATGTTCTTACGACCAGCCTTCTCGCAGCCTCAGAGCTGATGCAAGGTAAGCAGGGATGTCGCTGCAGCTGCATGCTGCCCCCTGCTCGCTCATGCTCAGGCTCATACACAGACACCTGCGCACACACCCCTCCTCTAAAGGCGAGAGGAAGGCGAAGGGCAGTTTGGCTAATGAGGTGCCACTACACTGAGAGCACCTCAGCCACAGCAGCATGAAACCAGCAAGCTGCTTCCTGCAGGCAACCGGTATGAGAAGGGGGCAGGCAGCTTGCCTGGTTTAGCAACCAGGTGCCATTTTTCAGTTTTCCCACCCCAACAAGCGGAAGCTAAGCAGCACAGAGCGGAGAAATTTGAATTAAGGGGAACCACGTCAGACTGTATGCATTACTAAATGCTACCGAGAGAGAGAGCAGAATGAGATGTGGGGCTGCTGTTGACAGCAGCTGTTGCAACATGTAGTTCGAGTCTCACGAGACCTCAGATGTGACTTGGCAGGCAAAGGCTCAGATGCAGCGCCACTGGGAGCGAGAGAGACAGTTGCTCTTGGTGCGCATTCCCAAGGCCTGCCGATTAGGACTTGGAGGAGGAGGAGGTGGGGAGGCCTCTGAATGTGGGCCAGTTCCAGACACTGAGATGAGAGAAGCGAAGGCACTTATCTTAAGACCAGACTCTCCAAGTGCCCAGGCAGCCGCTCAGAAGGACCAAGATGTGCAGTTACTGGGGGAAGGCTTGGAACGGGGGAGTTTCCCACAGACGGACGAGGAAGGTACGGCTCCTGATCCCATGACATGATGTTGGCAGAGGAGGGCAGCACAATTAGTGTGCAGAGAGGAGGTGAGCTCATTTCCAAAAGGCCCCTCCCAAAAGGATGGGGCCCAACCCTGCTCGTAAGGAGAGTTCCTAGAAGTAAATACTAGATTGGGTTCAAGGAACCACTCCGTGCATGCTCAGAGATTCATTCTGGGTGGTTGTGCTTATGAAAAATCCTTTGCTCAATAAAGAATGTTTTACAAGGAAGGTCTGTGGCTCTGAATGCGCAAAGGGAGCAAACTGAGCTCACAACAAGTGTTAAGCATACGAACAGTGAGAAGGAAATAATTGCCTACATTCCACACTTCCTCAAAGTAAGTTCAGAGGGTAAATGCAGGGTGCTTATCCTCACATCTGCCCTGTGAAGCAAGTCAGGCTGAGACAGAGTAACTTAGCCCAAGTCATAGTCAGACAGTGAGCATAACGCCTGAAGAGGGATTTGAATCCACTTTTTTGGTTCAGATTTATCTGTGCTATTCCCTTCACCAAGCAGATCTTGCTCCCTCACATCCAAATTATTTTCATTCCCTGATGAATTATCCTGCTGTACCAACTTAATTTACAAGTCAGCGATGCAAACGAGGACCAATATCCAGAAGCTGGAGCATTTATTTATTTAACTGAATTCTGTACTGCCCATTAGTAATTTGGGGTTGCGGCTGCTGTTCACCATTATTGGGTTTCAGAGCATGGCCTTATGGAAAGAGCAGGTCTTGCCATTGCTGGCTTAAGTCCCTCCATCTCCCACAGTATCCCCTCTTTCCATCTTTGACAAACAACCCGGAAAGAGGTGGCACAAAGCAAGGAATGTGAGCAGAATGCACCCCAGAAAGTAATCAAGGTATCCATGCCAGACTCCTTTCAGCTGAAGCTGCAGCAACAAGACTCATCATTTCCTAGCAGTGCATGAGAATCACACCCCTCTCCATCCAGGCCAGCCAACATGAGCATGGTGCATCCTTCGAAGTGCATGCCAACTTCATGCACTCTGTCTTCTCCTTGCCATCTTCAGCTTTATTCTTCTCTAGCAACACCCCCCACCCAGGGAAGGTGAACAGGGATAAGCGCTGGACAAACCAGACAGAATGAGAAAATAGCAAGCCATGAGGGGCAGCATTCAAAGCCATATTACCAGTTGCCTGACCATAAGGCAAGCCTATGCTATCCTCCTTCCTTCCCTCCCTGCCTCCCTCCCTCTCCCTCTCCCTTCTCCCTCCCTCTCTCTCTGTCTTAGACATGCAGTCTTCCCACCTGCTGATATGTGGTTTCTATTTGCAGGAAGCAAGTACATTCTTTAAAAAGATGACCAAAATAAGGACTAAAGAGCTGAAAGAAATTGGCACCTTAAGACAACAAGCAGCTGCAACAGCTTTCAAGTCCATCCTTAAAATGTCAAGCTGATGCTTTATCACATCTAAAGCAGCTCATGATAAAGACAGCATTATCCTCAGACTTTGAGGCAATGGAGGATACTTCATGAAAATTTAGCACAATGACATCCTGACTACTTGGATGTTAACCCCCTCCATCACTTTTATAGATGCAGCAAGGGGTTCTCTAAGAACTTCCTAAATGCCGGCCCTGATGGTCAGAAACACTGCTCAGCAGAAAGCTGCACATTCTTGCAGGGAGAGCATTCAGTCTCTGCACAGCAAGACAAACACCTTGTGTGTGGTGGCACATGTTTTAGTCATACACAGCGTCACGCTCGGCCAACATCAAGAGAAGAAAAATATAATCACCAAAACTGTTCCATCTAAAAGCATTACCTGGCAATTATATTTCCAGGAAATACTAGCTTAAGTCAAACCATTCTAAGAATTCTAAAGAGAGGCAAGAGTAGCTACCTAGGGGCCTGGTCCAATCTTGTACAACCGCAAATAACAAATCAGGAACATGTTCTGACAGTGAGTGCTCTGTTTGTACCAGAGAAGACAGCAGGCGCTCACAAGCGCCAGCAAATTCCAGGGCTGGACTTTCACCTTAAACAAGGTCAGGAGGTAAGCTGACACCAATATTAACCACTTTCAGAGTGAACCAAGTTCCTCACAGAACCATCACTGCTGGTTAGGGAATCTGGTCAAGCGTGCAATCTGGCTCGCTTCAATGAGGATCAAGAGATAAGCAGCCACTCTTGAGGAATCATGTGCCAAGACTACCATTTAGATGATCTAACCACACGTTTCCCAACCGTAGCAGAGATGCTGATGCTAATAATGGCTTCATTTATATACTCCCCAATCGCTGATGCTCTGTATTTTTAAAAAACCCACACAACAAACCCAATAAAAACCAGGATAAAATCCCCTACAAAATGTAAAACACTTTAGAAACCATTTAAGAAGTTAAATCAGTTCAGACATAGACCTCCTAAATGCCATTAAATGCTTCAACATAGGGGGCAGTCTTAACCTAGCACCAGAAAGAAAGTTGGCCATGCTGGCCTTGGTGGACAGCTCGTTGCAGAGAAGGCCCTTGTTGCCATCAACTGGGCCTTCCCCAAAAGTGGGTTGTTGAGTGTAGCAGCTGGGTAACCTCTGGCTGGGAGAGGTGTTCCAACAAGTATTGTGGTCCCAAGCCATGTAAGGCTTGATATGTTAAAACCAACATCTTCAACTAGGCTCAGGGGCATACAGGCAGCCTATGGAATTAGGCCAAAATCAGGGTTAAAGGTTCCAAAATTCTGATCCCAGCTATTAATCTGGCTGCCACATTTCACACAAGCACCAGTCTTCAAGGGCAGTGTCATGTGAAATGCATTACAGTAATCTCACCTGAAGATGATCAGGGCACAGACTCCTGAAACCAAGCTATCCCTGTCCAAGCAGCAGTGTGACTGGGCCACCAGCTTAAGCTGCTAGAAGACACCCTGTGCCACTGAGGCCACCTGAGTCTCAAGGGACAAAGTTGGATCAAGGAGTGTCTCCAAGTGATTTTAGCGGGGGTGCAGCTGAATACCCTCCTTCCAGTCTGAAGAGCTGCACACTGGCAGAATCTCAGTCTTGAGCTTCAGTTTGTTAGGCCTCATCCAGTCCATTCTTGCAGTCTGCTTAACTGTCAGTGCCAGAAGGAACTCCTGTAATAATTTTGTCACTAAGAACAGCCACGTGAGACAAACTCACACAAGTGCAGCTTTCAGCAGCAGCCAAAATATTCAGATGCTCTACAACTCCTTAGAATTGCAGATACCTTAGGCTGAAACCCATTCTTAAAGAATGTAAAGCAACTGTAGGGTGGGGGGTTTGGGCTAGAAATCAACCTTTTTTAAATGTTCTTACGTAAATATTTATTGGACTATTTTGAACAACCATGCATAAGAGGAAAGACAGTCACCCCTTGCTTGCACCCATCACATTGACTGTTAATCAATATCCTACAATATGCTTGTACATGGAAGAGCAGAAAAGGAACTAGAAAAGACCATTAAGTGTAATGATGTTTCACAGGAGAGCAAAGCTAAGATCATCCACACTCTTGTTTTCCCTAGCGCTATGCAAGGGTGGTAAAAGCTGGAAAGTGGGGGAAAAAACCTGACAGAAGAAAATGGATGCATTCAAAACATGGTGCTGCAGGAGAGCTTTGTGAATACTCTGCACTGACAAAAAGATGAACAAGTGTATCCTAGATTGAATCAAGCCAGAACTTTGCCTAGAAGCAAAAATGACAAAAATGAAGCTAGAATGTTGTAGGCACACCGTGAGAAGGTAAGATACGCTGGAGCAGACAATCATGCTAGAAAGTCAAAGGCAGAAGAAATAAAAGATGACCAAATAGGAGATGGATGGACTCTGTAAAGGAAGCCACAGCCTTGAATTCAAAAGAGGGCAGGCTTTCAAGAACAGGACATTTTGGTTGGCACTTCTCCACAGGGTCACCATACATCAGAGACAATTAGATGGCAGAACTATAACAAAACTATAGGCTAGGTTATGGGACATTGAGAATCATATGCAAACTCAGAGTACCAGACTGACTGGGGGTTAAACAACCCACAGTTAAGCCAACAACAAACCATGTTTAACTGCTGGGTATTTTAAGCAGCCCAATGCTCCAAGCACTCACATCACACTCAACCTATAGCTCGGCTGATCATATGGTGTTAATTTAAAGCAGAACCGGGTGGTGTGGTGCAGGCAGCGTATCCACTCTTTCTTCAACCCATGGGTTCTCACTGTGTGTGAAATGGCAAACTATGACAAACGCCTCTGATGAAAATCAGCATACGACTTAATTCAAAAGTGGAGGAAGAGATCCAGTTTAGGCTTTGTATCTGTTCCCCTTCCACACACCCCTTCCAAGCGCCCACAGACATACCAATTTGCTCCCCATGGTGGTCTTGACTGGGCATTCCTCCTTTTGGCAAGCAAGAAGCTGAATGCATAGAGACAGGCCTGTCCTTCCCTTCTTAATTCCAAGATACACAGCAGCGAGGGTGGAAGGATACCCTAGGCTTCAGGGAGCGTACCTCTCAGAGGAACACCAAGGCCAACTCCATCCGTCCCTGTCACGGAAGGAGCAGGAACAGGAGCAAACACAAATTCTGGCAAATTCCCTAGGCTATTTCAAATGTATAGATCCCTCTCTGCACATCCATCAACTGTAAATTATGGAGGCTATTCAAACATCCATATAAGCTGTACAGTAGAGACACACCTAAATTCTTGTTTATTAAAATGTATTTTTCAAACACATTATACAGAGAAATGCCTGATACAAGGGATGCAATAAAAACAGCTAAATCCATTCTCCTGATGAAAAAAATACAGTGATTTAAAAGCTTTAACTCCCACCTTCACAAAAACAGTGCAGCATGAGCCTGATGCTGGAATGTCAACCAAGTAAGAGCTAATTCAGCTTCAGGATGCCACAACCAAGAAGGTTCTGCTCTCTCTGTTGCCACCCACTGAAAGGTAGTGTCAAATGGAAGTTATCTCCAGATGACCATCTCTAGGTTCAACTGACTGGTGTGAAGACAGTCCAGCAATACTTAGGTTAAGCTTTAAAGAGAAATGCCAGCACTTGAGCTGAACTTGAAAAGAAACCAGAAGCCAAAGGAATGAGACCGTCTCTGTCTCTCTCACACACAGAATCCCAACTTACAGCCTGGCTATTGTATTCAGAACTACCTGCAGCTTCTAAATAATCTTTCAAGGCAGTGGAGCTCTCTCTTACCTTTGCGAAGGACTCGCTTCTTTGCTCGAATGTCTGTCTCCAACTCTGCTGCTCTGATATAAATCCGGACAGACTGGGGAAGGTGACGAACAGCCTGGGCCACCACAGCCTTGGCAGTATCCCCAGGCTGCAAACGGGCAGCTTCCAACCAAACATCTTCGCTCTGGGGAAAGCAGAGAAACAGAAGCCAACCACTTCTCATTAAAGTGATTAGTGCATTGAGGAAGATGGAGAATAGACACAGGGGAAGCCACCACGTGTTGAATAAGGAAGAAAAGGGCAGGACACAAATGCAGGAGCAATGAGGGATGCCCAGCAGAAGCAGCAAACACAGAACAGCAGCAGGGAAATGCTTTCCAGGAGCAGAATGCCAGGCAGAGGCCCTCACAAGCAGACTGGGGAAGAAAGGACACAGCTGAGGTGCCTGCGGGTAAGACTGCTAGTCCTTCTAGGCAACGCAACAGCTTCCACTAATGTATGAGCAGACGTGTGGCCCTGATGCTCTACCCGACTATGCCCATCAGCCCTAGCCAGCATGGCCAAAGCTAGGGGATCGTGGGAGTGGTAGACTAAAGCATTGGAGCAGACCACACGCTGCCCACCCCTTTGGCTGCTTGCCCGCAACAACGTGGTACACAGAAGGACACTGCCTCTGAGCCTGATGATTCTGCTTAGCTATCCCAGCTAACAGCTGCCCATAGAACTCTCCTCCTGCACAAATCTGCCCAATTCCTTTTTAAAAGCCATTCACACCAATGGCCGTCACCCACGTCTTGTGGCAGAGAATTCTACAGATTAAGACCACACACTGCATGGAAAAGTATTTTCCTCTGTGTTTCCTGAATCAAGTGCTGATGAATCTGATGGTATGTCCTCAAGCTCTTTATTTGGAAAGAATAAATTTCCTTTTGCCACAGGATTTTTTAAATCATCCCCTTTGCCCCAGGGTCACAACTCTGCCCCATCAAACTAAGAGTCTCACATGCTTCTAGTTTTCCTTTGCTGGAAAATCATCCTAAGTAACAGAGGCAGTGAAGACACAGAAAGAACAAACAGGTAACTTTGTACTGCCACGCCTAAATGAGGGGATGAATGAACACATAAGAGATGACAAAGAGGGCCTAGAAAGCAGGATGGAAAGCCTCAGATCAAAGTATATAAAAGTAACTCTTGACATTTCCCAGAGATTATAAAATGTGGCTGTAGCTGAGCTGAGACGCCACAACAGTCCTTTGCCAGCTCCTGCTCTTGACTCTAAGAGGTCCAGGATACACATCTACTGTTCCCAGTGAAAGAGGCTAAAGTGGATGGAAGCATTGAAGAAGGGGGAGAAGGTTGTTTTGAGTCACAATGAAAACGGCACCAAAGCACTACAGATATTTACAAGGAAGCACAGAAAATAAATCCTCACCTTAGGACACATTTCTGTCCCTTTCATGATGAGATTTCGAGCTACCTGCAGTTTGCCTGTCACTTCTTCCAAGCGTGCTGAAGCAATCCAGGCTGGCGGGTGGTGGGGGTTAGTCTCTCGCACAGACTTCAGGAGTAAACGTGCTTTCTTGATGTCACTAGCAAGGGAGAACGTACACAGGCCAGCACTTAATATCCTCCAATGCCAAACCCATTGGGTAAATTACTGTTTTTATACAGCCAAGGTCAAGACAAATTGTGAGACTAGGACAGGTTCCAACAAATGTAATGATAGTGACAGGAATGGAGCAAGGAAAGAACAGAATTGGCCTAGCAAGAAAGCAGCAGAAAAGATTGATGCTCTAGGCTGTGGGAAGGGTGGGGGGGGGGGAAGAGAGGGGGGGGGGGGGAGGGAGGGAGGAAGGGAGGGAGGGAATCATGTGTGAGGCAAAAGCAATGGGCTGATGGACAACAAATCAAATGAGAGGTTGTGCAGTTTCACGTGTGTGTGCAGAAACGGTGATGACTGGGTGAGGTCATTCACTTGAAGGCAGGCAACCTGGCTCAAGGACAGAAACACAGAAACAGAGCGAGTCAGAAGGGGCCTCCTGGGCCATCTAGACTGAGCCCCGGCTCCGCTCACGACATGCCCACCATGTGGACGTCCAGCCTATCCTTCAACACCCTCACGATGGGGCCTCAGTGACCTCCCGTGGAAGCCCATTCCACACCCTCGGGGTCCGAACTGTCAGGAAATGCTTCCTGGCATCTAAAGGGAACCTTGGCTCCCGTTAGATGGATGGTGTCCACATACAAATGCTACTGCCATGGACCAGGCCAGGTCACACAACATGACACGCAACTGTGGGCTGCTTAATCCACAGTGAGACTGTGGCACACATGGCTGCCATTTTGCATATACTGCCCTTGCTCAGGGGGCGACCTATCATGCAAATGGGCTTGACTCCAGGGCCCCTTCCAGTTAAAGCTCTTCCCAGCAGAGCTTTAACTGTCTGTCTATTCCATAAGCAAAGACCTGACCCTGCACTATATTTTGTTCACATTGATGAAATTATAAACAAACAAAGTCTAATAGCCAAACCAGTGCCATGGCTGGTACCCACAGACTTACTTAATATCTCCACCATGGGTAGGAATCATGGAATTCAAGTCAGTGAGATAGCCCTTGGGATCCACCACGGTTTGGCCACTCACAGAGTCGGATACCTGGAAGTTTAACCCAACAATCAAATAAATGGATTGAAGTATGACATGGGGACCTCACAACATACATTTAAATGCAAACATTTAAAAAACTAATTGCCACCAGCAGTCTTCCCCATCTAGAAAGTTAATTCCCCCAAAATACCATCCTCCGTACTATGAAAGCAAATGCCCAGAAGCTGAAAGAACCTGCAAATTAAGAATTGAACTTCAAGTATTTCAAGAGCAGAAAGCAATTTTCTAGAAACTACATCTGGGAGTTCTTATATGGCACCTTACAATCCAGTGAGATCAGCAACTTTTAATAATGAATGGAATAAGCAGCAGCTCTTGTCCCTGTTCCTTACCTGGCTGAGCCGCATATCCATCAAGGTGTTCCTAGCTTGACCAATCTTCCTCATGTCCAGCTCACCTGTCCCAGGTGTCATCAGTCCAGGTGTCATTCCTCCAGGATAAGGAGTGTTTAAGCCTCCAGGGTAGGGAGTATTGAGACCACCAAATTGCTGCTCAAAAAAAGACATGGGGGTGGGAAAAGAAAGGGAGACCACATTAATTTCAGTCTGTTGTGCAGAAGAAAAAATGTACAAGTCCACAATCTGAATAGTCCTTTTTACACAAAATTATTACAAAAAATGTCCATCATTGTAGGAGGTTGCATGGAAAAAGGGTGGGTTTGTAGATTGCGTGTCCTCCACTGCAAGTTCACTGTCAATGAAGTGAAAGGAAACAACATAAATCAACCAGAAAGTGTTCTTCCCTCTTAAAGCTAACAGCGTTTCAGGACAGAGAAGTGTTACAAAGCTATCTAAAAAGTAAGAAGGAAAAAGGAAAAACTCCAATGTACCCACTAGGAGAGTTCTTTCTACAGGACAAATAGTGTAGAAAACTTTTCATTCAAGGGAGTATTCAACCATGCAATTCCTTTACTGAAGTCAGAAATGATAAACCAGCAAAAGAAATTATGTTGAAGGTTTGGCTGAACCTCATCAAGTGTCCCAATTATTATTTTAGATTTGTAGGACAGAGCAGAATTGAGTAAGCCCAAGATTGGTGGCAGGCACTGCTCTTTTGCGCACTAACACAGGAATGTTTGAGAATCCTCTCAGGTGGACCAGCTTCTACCAATTTTCTCACCGTTTGTCGAGGATCCACCGATGTATGATTCTCCCCTGACTGCAAATGCTTTGCAAAGAAACTGTCAGGAACAGGAGTCAGTTTCTCATAACGTGGATTCCTCTGGCGTTTATTTCTTGCATCACCAACCTCTGGAATGCTTAGCCATTCTTCTTCAGTAACTTCGGCTAGTTTTCTCTACAAAGAACAGAAATTGCAATGCTGTAGCTGAAGGCAGTATGTTGAAATCATGCTCTCCCTTGGGCTGCCATGCAACTGGATTACTGTAATAGTCTTCCTACCCTCCTTCCTACCAACAGCAGATAGGATTCCTAATAATGGTGCACCCTTCCTCACTTCAGTCCCATGGCCTTTCCTTGAGCCTCTGCCTCCTCCAGCCCCTGCTTCCCAACCAGTGTATTTCTATATCCAGGTAGAACAGAGAATGACCCTCCCTCATTTCAGCAAGTTCAGGTACATCACATTAGCACAACAGCAGCAAGACAGGCAACAAGGTGGCAGATGCAAGACAAAGAAATGTCCCGCACTCTGAAAATACAAGTCCTTTATGTTTTAACCGTATCCATTTACAGCCTTTCATCACTGAAAATGCTTTAACATAGCAATGTCGAGGCACAGGTATTTTGTCATCTCTCCCCCTTTCCTCCACAACTTCATGTATATCAGATTTCCAAATGGAGAACAGATGCTCCAACTGCCTTTCCCAAGCCCACCTGGAGTGTTCACAGCAAGGCAGCATTTGGCTGCACATCCCCTAAAGTGCCATGCTTAGCACTAGTCCATACTGACTCAATTCAAGCAATAGCTAATGCATATTCTAGAAAAACGCTTTCCCAAGTTGCCACCTCACTCCTGCCGTTCCGTGGTGCTCCCTTGAGAGCAACTGCACACAATTCTCCCCTTACTTTTAGATCTGAGAACTGTTGCTGAATTTTTGGCCGTTCCATTCGGTACTTTTCAATCTCTTCTTTCTCACGCTGTTCTCTAGGAAATAAAATCAAATGCACCCACTATTAAAGCAGCAATTCCTATTTTATAAAAGGCAAATAGCAAGATCAGGCCTACCATCCAGAACACAGGTGTGATAAAGCAAGTCATCTTAGCATGTTACTCTATGCTTAAAAACCCCAAGACCTACCTTCTCTCCTTTCTCCTTTCATCCATCCTCTTATCCAAAGCAGCATAAATTGCATCAGCTTCCTCATCATCTTTCTCATAAGGCCCACTGGAGAACAAGCTTCCAGCATATCCATTGAACTGTGAAAAAAGGCAGCATTAACTGTAAAATACCCTGCTACTCGTTTAGTGTACCCTACAGAATCCCAAAAGACCTGCCTAATAAGCCATTTAATAGCAAATTTCACAAAAATACAAACCAAAGGTGAATCCCGTGGTAGAACAAATACTTCAGGCAGAAAAAGTATCAGGTTCAATTCGAAAAAGGAAATGTAGTGACAGGGTCTGGAAAGTCCTCCGGCTAGCAAGTTGAAACACCACAGCCAATTCAAGTGAACAAGACCAAGTGCTCTGTGTATAAATTAGTGCCAAACATTCAGATCTCCGCATCACTTGAAGTAAGAAAGCCCTGTGGGCCTCACCAACCTCATCATAATTGGTGTCATTCAGATCTTCATCGTCATCATCTGCTGCCTGGTTCTTCTTCATCTGATCCCCCACAGTTCTCTTTCCTGGTGGAGCATGACGATCGTCCACAGGGTCATTTGCATCTCGAGCAGGACCAATATCTGAGCGGGTAGTAAAACCTGTCGCACTAGAGACATAGAAAAGTCACCAATTCAGTACAGGAGTTTGTTTACTTACATATATTTATAGGCCACCTATAATTGCTGAGTTCTGATACATACTGGTCATGGTTGTTCAAATTCAATAGTCCTGGTCCAGGGCCCTTGTAAATCCAGGATTCTGAAACATCACTCGCCTCTGGCAAGCAAGAATCACCCACAAGTGACCAGGCAGGAAAGCTTTTGTAAATTAGGAAAGCCAATTCTTTCCTGACATCAGCATTTCACACAGTAATAGTATATGCAGGCAAGCAGACTAATTTTCTCTCTTCTGGAGTACTATCCTTTGCAGATTTATTTCCAGGAAACAGAAATAAAAACGGGGCGAACTGAAAATGCCTTTCCAAAAACACAGTGCACAGGTACACTGAGAACAGCCTGGGCTACAAGGAATTATGAAGCACACCCATAAGAGTAAAAAGGTTGTGTCCTAAAGGTAAAGATGCTGAGAAGATTTTTCTGGCCAAGTTAAAATGTTCTCTTCCAGGCTCAGATACCAGAAAAGGAGAGCAGAAAACCAGCAAGTCTTCGTTCACTTTACTTTCTACATGCATTTTAGTGGTATTCTTGGGGACAGGGTAGCAACAAAGGAATGGAAGCAAAAGCACTTTGTACATGTTCAGATGATGGTGTCTATGCATGAGCTCCTTTACCGGAGGCACCATATCTGCATACATCATGCTGAGGAGCTCGGGCAGGAGAAGGCCTTGTGTCTATAATGCTTGAGGGATCCTGTGGGCAGCTGGTTTGCCATGTGTATGGAGTGCTGGATTGGATGAACCTTGAGCGTGATCCAGAATGGCTTCTCTTACATAAGGAAGGCCCACCTTTTTTTGTTTGGGAAAGAAGGCGCTAACTCGGCATGTGCTCTGAGGTACTCAACGGCTGATGGCAGAGCTTGCCTATATAACAAGCCAGTGGGAAAATCTCTTGCAAAATGTGAGGAAAGCAAGTTATTAAAGCTTCTCCACAAGTGGAACCAGGCTTGGGTGCCCTCCCCAGGAAAAGCAGTCCAGCTATTAGTGCACCCTGTACAAGCTCAAAATGATTGGCCTTTGGGTCCTGTCAATGGTGTGTTTTGGTGTGTTTGGCTAAGGAGGAAACAATTCTGCATATGATGATGTGATGTGCGAGAGTGATGGGCTGGGGATGCAGGAGATCCAGGTTCAAGTCCCCACTTAGCTATGATGCTCCCTGAGTGACTCTGGGCCAGTCGCAGACTCTCAGCCCTGCCTACCTCAGAGGGCTGTTGTTGTGAGAATAAAATGGAGCTAAGTGAGCCACCGTGAGTTGCTTGGGTGGAAAAGCAATGGGATACAACTGTAATAAAATATGCCCAGAGGCATTCAGCACCAGTGCAAGAGCTGGACTGCGCCTCTCCTGAAGGATTTGCTGGAAGGGGGCTAGTGGCGCTCCCCCGGGAAGGTTGTATTCGGCTGTCGGGGGGTGCGGGGGATGTCCTTCCTGGGAAAACGTTCCAGGGCTGCACGCACTCTGCACATGCTCAAAGCCATCAGCCTCTGGGTCTTGTGAAAGCGGCGCCGCAGAAGAGTGCGCCGGCGCGCAGAGGCACCCGCCGTCCGCCCCGTGCAGGCGGCCCATCCCGCCCGGGCCTGCGGGGAGCCTCCGGGGGGCGCGCCGCCGCCCGCCCGCCCACCTGCCCGCCTGCCGCCCGCCCCGCGTGGCTCACCCGCGGCCCAGCCCCGGCACGTAGCCCAGCGGCGCGGGCATGCCCAGGAAGGGCTTCTTCTTCCTGTTCATGGTGCCCGTCAGCGACGCCGTCAGGCCCGACGCGCCGCCGCCCCCGGTGCCGGCCGCGTTCGAGCCCGCCGGAGCCGCGGCGGCGGACGACGACGAGCCGGCG